AATTTGCCACCCTAACTCCTCCCACAGTTTTTACACTACATAGACCAAAAATTACCAAAACGTGCAGATTGTTCCCGATCGGATTGCTATTACTTTGTGGAACGTTTCGCCGAATGGTTCACGGAATATCGTCGTTTTTGTGGCGCAATTTGTCCCATAGGAATGAATGGCAAAGCTAGAGTGGGAGCTGCCAAAAGCTGAAAAATCAGGACATGATTTCTAAACTGCCACCACTCCCTCACTTTCAAGCCCACCTACACAAATCTTATATCAAAACGTTCAGCCATCCCTGCTGCCACTAAACATGTAAACGGCTAAGCCGTAGTCCTGATAGTTTTCACAATATGACCATTTGTTTGCAACCAACGCCGTCAATTGACATTCATTGAAACTTCACTCTGCAAAGCTCAAATTTGAAGTAATATCTAAACTGCGACTGTACTCTTCATTTTAATACTACTTGTGAGACATACTATGCATCAAAAATGTAGGTCTTCATTCTTGGTGGATTCTGGCCAATATAAAAGCTCTTCACTGTAGGATTTATAGTTTTAAAAATATGACCGTTTGAAGATGCAAACACCAAAATACTCTGACCTGTCAATGCTGCAGCAAGTGATGCCATAGACAGGGCCTTTTGGAACACCTTTTGCTAATGTTTCTATAAAATGTATGGTTTAATGTAACTGTGCAACAACAACGTTGCAATTGAATGTGCTAGACTACTGGTGAGGCAAGAACACTTCACACAATTTCCCCAGAAATTGTAACTTTTAGTTATTAAGTGTTCTTGCATAGCAAGACCAATTTTAATGTTATCTCACATATATATTATTATTATTATTATAGCAAAATTTGCCACTCTAACTCCTCCCACAGTTTTTACACTACATAGACAAAAATTTACCAAAACGTGCAGATTGTTCCCGATCGGATTGCTATTACTTTGTGGAACGTTTCGCCGAATGGTTCACGGAATATCATCGTTTTTGTGGCGCAATTTGTCCCATAGGAATGAATGGCAAAGCTAGAGTGGGACCTGCCAAAAGCTGAAAATCAGGACATGATTTCTAAACTGCCACCACTCCCTTATTTTCAGGCCCACCTACACAAATTTTATATCAAAACGTTCAGCTATCCCTGCTGCCACTAAACATGTCAACGGCTAAGCCGTAGTCCTGATAGTTTTCACAATATGACCATTTGTTTGCAACCAACGCCGCCCATTGACATTCATTGAAACTTCACTCTGCAAAGCTCAAATTTGAAGTGCAATTTCTAAACTGCGACTGTGCCTTCAATTTTAATACTTCAGAGACATACTATGCATCAAAATGTAGGTCTGGGTCCTGTGATTCTCACAATATAAAGCTCTTCACTGTAGGAGTTATAGTTTTTAAGATACGACTGTTTGAAGATGGCAACCACAAAAATACTCTGACCTGTGTCAAGCTGCAGCAGCAAGTGATGTCATAGACAGGGCCTTTTGAACACCTGCTAATGTTTTTATAAATGTATGGTTTAATGTAACTGTGCAACAACGTTGCATTTAAATGTGCTATATAAATGATAACAGTTACTCCACCCACTCCAGTTGTAGACTACTGGTGGAGGCAAGAACACTTCACACAATTTCCCCAGAAATTGTAGCTTTTCTAGTTATTATTATTCTTATTATTATAGCAAAATTTGCCACCCTAACTCCTCCCACAGTTTTTACACTACATAGACCAGAATTTACCAAAACGTGCAGATTGTTCCCGATCGGATTGCTATTACTTTGTGGAACGTTTCGCCGAATGGTTCCCGGAATATCGTCGTTTTTGTGGTGCAATTTGTCCCATAGGAATGAATGGCAAAGCTAGAGTGGGAGCTGGCAAAAGCTGAAAAACAAGGACATGATTTCTAAACTGCCACCACTCCCTCATTTTCAAGCCCACCTACACAAATCTTATATCA